TCAACAGCCCGGAGTCAATTATGCGTATAATTTCTTACGGATCTCATGCCAAGCCTCCTCCGATGACCGTTGCTCATTCCAAAACGTAATTTTAGAACTTGTGACGGGGACTTAAGTCACTGATAGCAGTTATTAATTTAAAGTTATTTAAGAGAGAGAGAGAGAGAGAGAGTTTACCTCAGTCTGTGAATTACCTCAGTCTGAGTCTTTGCGTCTCTCGACAGTGTTCGGCACCAGCGTCTACTAATAGCGAAACTGTTTATCTGCACCTCACTAGTGAGAAACGTAATGTAGCTAAACTACTTTACTGAGGAAACACGATTGGTTGTTTTTTATGGAAGCTTGTTTCAGCCATAGAATGAAAAATAAAAAAGGTAATTGCGACTTTTTATCTCACAATTCTGACTTTTTTTCTCACAATTACGAGATTTAAAGTCAGAATCGCGAGATATAAAGTCACAATAGCGAGATATAAAGTCAGAATTGATTGATATAAAGTCAGAATTGCGTGATATAAAGTCGCAATTGCGAGATATAAAGTCAGAATCGCGTGATAGAAAGTCGCAATTGCGAGATATAAAGTCAGAATTGCATGATAGAAAGTCGCAATTGCGAGATATAAAGTCAGAATCGCGTGATAGAAAGTCGCAATTGCGAGATATAAAGTCAGAATTGCGAGATATAAAGTCAGAATCGCGTGATAGAAAGTCGCAATTGCGAGATATAAAGTCAGAATTGCATGATAGAAAGTCGCAATTGCGAGATATAAAGTTAGAATTGCGAGATATAAAGTCAGAATTGCATGATAGAAAGTCGCAATTGCGAGATATAAAGTCAGAATTGCATGATAGAAAGTCGCAATTGCGAGATATAAAGTCAGAATCGCGTGATAGAAAGTCGCAATTGCGAGATATAAAGTCAGAATTGCATGATAGAAAGTCGCAATTGCGAGATAGAAAGTCAGAATCGCGTGATAGAAAGTCGCAATTGCGAGATATAAAGTCAGAATTGCATGATAGAAAGTCGCAATTGCGAGATATAAAGTCAGAATTGCGAGATATAAAGTCAGAATCGCGTGATAGAAAGTCGCAATTGCAAGATATAAAGTCAGAATCGCATGATAGAAAGTCGCAATTGCGAGATATAAAGTCAGAATTGCATGATTGAAAGTCGCAATTGCGAGATATAAAGTCAGAATTGCGAGATATAAAGTCAGAATCGCGTGATTGAAAGTCGCAATTGCGAGATATAAAGTCAGAATTGCGAGATATAAAGTCAGAATCGCGTGATTGAAAGTCGCAATTGCGAGATATAAAGTCAGAATCGTGTGATAGAAAGTCGCAATTGCGTGTTATAAAGTCAGAATTGCGAGATATAAAGTCAGAATTGCGAGATATAAAGTCAGAATTGCGAGATATAAAGTCAGAATCGCGTGATAGAAAGTCAGAATTGCGAGATATAAAGTCAGAATTGCGAGATATAAAGTCAGAATTGCGAGATATAAAGTCAGAATCGCATGATATAAAGTCGCAATTACGAGATATAAAGTCAGAATTGCGTGATATAAAGTCAGAATTGCGTGATATAAAGTCACAATTGCGAGATATAAAGTCAGAAATGTGAGATATAAACTATTGTGAGGGGGAAAAAAGTTTGTATTTTTTCCCCTTAGAATTAGCCTGATAACTCGCAAAGTTTATCAGTTTTATATCTCAAAATTCTGAGTTTATATCTCAAAATTCTGAGAAAAGATGTCAGACTTTCGACATATAAACTCGCAATTATGTGTTATAAAGTCAGAATTGCGAGATGTAAACTCGCAATTGTGAGAAAAAAAGTCAGAATTGTGAGATAAAAAGTCGCACTTCTGTCTTTTTTTCTCAGAATTGCAACTTTATATCACGCAATTTTGACTTTATAACATGCAATTGTGTGATAAAAAGTCGCAATTAGTTTTTTTAGTTTTTTTTATTCAATGGTGGAAACAAGCTTCCATAGTTTTTAACCTATTGTTTTGTTTATTTGCTCGGTAAGTGTTGTGGGTTTTAGGTCTGTGGGCTGTAAACTGTCACTGCAATCAATTTGGCTAAGTGATTTGGATTCTGCGGGGCTGTTGAATGCTTCATTCTGATTGGTTGACGAACGTTCTGGGTGTTCATTTTTTTCAGAAAAACGCGCGACTTTAAAGTAGTTCCAGGCAGGTCTTGACCGCATTACAGTTTCATATCACTTCGCCAAAGGATTTCAGAGAAATCTAAGGAACTACAGTATATTTCAACGCTTTTGCGTTCTCTCCCAAATCTTTTGAGTTGTTTGCAAGCAAATGCAAAGTTTCTCAGGGAACTCAAACATTTTTTTTTTTTTTATGGCCCATTAGGTGCTCCGTAGATTTCTCTGATTCTTCAATCATGTTGCTTCTCAAGTGAAAATATCTCTAAACATAATTAACTGTGTTGGAAAGCAAGACTTTTAGGGTAAGAATATGATTTTTTGCAGTGTTAGTATAACCTCAAGACGTTTTATATCCATTTGTTCAGATGCATCGCCTTTGAGAGGAGATTTAGTCAATAACAGTACAGAAATCTCACGTGAAGCATGAAGCAGGTATGAATGCATGTCAGTTACTATGTGTTAACCCCCATAATTACAGACCGATTAAACCAGGTTTGTGTTCAGACTTGTCCTGGTCTTTGAACTTTACTCGTCATCTACAGTTCAAACCCGCCAGCTTTGATCTAAAAAATACAGTTTCGAGGAGTGGAGAAATTAATGATATAAATGTCAGCAGGTGTTTGGGTCGGTTTACCTGCCAGGATGGAAAATAGATGCCGTTACATTTGCATGATGAAGCGTCATCAAAGAAATCCACACTTCCAAATGATTCATAAAAGTGTGCGATTGTCTAATTATTTTTTAGAAAGGCAAATCAATTAAATTTGAGGATTAAAACAGTTTACCATCAGACTGTTTGTTAATCGCATAGGCTATTAATACCCAGAAGATGTTAGAAAACACATAGTAACGCCCTGGCAACCACTCACAACACCCAGGCATGATGGTGGCACATTTAGCACAATCAAACAACACCGGTAATTCCTTTACATCAACACCGACACACATGGGCGAGTGACGCATATACAAAATTTCCCACGAGATTATAACAGACTTATACCATGGTCTAGGTGAATACTCGATTCTGATTGGCTGCAGGGTGTCCTTTAAAAAATGTGATAGAGGACACCTAATAAATTAGTTCTAGTGAAACTGCCTGTTTACCGTTCGAAATTAATAAATAAATGCGCTGCCTACAACAGCAGTGAGTAACCATAGCAACAGGCAGTCAAACGCTCTATCAAAACAAACATCTAACGTTAGATACTACTGTACTGTATAGCCTACAACAATGAGCGACTTTGTTATTTCTTTTAACATTTATGGAGAATATGGCAACTTTGACGACTGGTATGCTGTAGGTCGACTCTCCGATGCTGGACTGGAGAGCCGTCAAATAATGTCGGTAACAGGCCATCGCTGCGAGAGCAGTAACGTACGGGCTGGAGCAACGTACTGTCTGATCAAGTGCCCATCATGGGCAGCAGTAACGTTACCCAGCTTTTGTGGATCCTCCTGACTGGCCGACTTTTTCAAATTGCACTATAAATGGAAACGTTGAAATTAATTGTAAATAAAAAAGCTAGCATGTAGACACATGACCCTCTCTTTGATCTGATTAATTTATTGCCCTCTATAAGCGCAAATCGCTGGTGCTCAGAACTAATTGGTATTTTTTTTTTTTGTCGTGTTTTTTGATTTTTGTCTGATTAATTGTTTTAGTCTATGTGTAATAAAAAAAAACTATGCCTACCTTTGTGTTTCATGAAAATAAAATGCATTTTTGAACATGAAGGGTTCAAGCTGAGCGGACTATCTCCGGTTGCTAACGTTAAATAAACCGTCAGGCAAATTATTATTTGTAAAAACTAGATTTAGCCTAATTAAAATATAAACTAATGTTATAAAAATGTTTTATGTGGCAAGTGACCATGGTATAAGCGGGTTAACCCTTACATACCCAACCCGATCACACTAAATACGTCTCTATAGCACGCAGTGTGTTTATCGTGCAATATATTAGTGAAAATTAGTTTTTTTTTTTTAGGATGTGTGCTATAGAGATGCATTTGTAGTAAATTTATTTTATTAGGATAAACCCCTTGAGATGCAACATCTCGTTTTCGAGGGGGTCCTAAAGTACATCACACAGCCATCACAAAAGAACACCAATCAAATAAACAAACAAACAAAAAAACAACAACAATTACTCATATTGGACAAACAAGTACATACAGAACAAAAAAAATAAAAAAATATGCAGAACTTTATAACCACTAGATCAAATTGGCAGAAATACATTGCATATAGCATATATGAAGAGTTCAGATGCAAAACCCTCTAAATGCCATTTGAAATTTTCTTCTTTAATGATGATTTTTATCAAACTTGTATATTTAAGTTCAGTAATTTCACTTAAATAACAATTAATAGGTAATTATCATTGCCATTTAAGTGAAATTACTGAACTTAAATATACAAGTTTGATAAAAATCAACATTAAAGAAGAAAATTTCAAATGGCATTTAGAGGCTTTTGCATCTGAACTCTTCATATATAAAGCATAAGCATTTTGTGTCAGCATCATACATTACAAGAGCAGTCAGTCATAAAGTAAGAAGACAAGTTATGCTTAAACATCCCAAATGAAATGATGGATCTAATATCGGAAGGTAAAATATTCCAGTCTAAAGTGGCTTTAAACATTTACGTGAGAACAGGCTGACATACCATAGCATAGAGACAAAAACATGTTTTGGTCCAAGGGTTGATGATGCATTGACTCAACATTTAAATTTTGTTCATTTTGAACGGAAAAAAGGTTACATATAATAGCGAAACTTTAAATTGAGTAAAAGTCCATGTTTTGGGATGCACCTGTAGCTCACCTGAAACAGGACCTGATGTTTATATGCAGACCTGTTGCATACACCGCAGGTCACGACCCTGGTCCAATTTGTTTATTCACTTCTCGTTGTTGTTCGAGTTCAATGGACTGATGTGGAGTGACATTAGAGTTCACTGTAACGAACATCCCATGAATATTTAAACGGCGTTTATTAGCCCGACAGCACCAGGTACAATGCATGACTGGAAAAAAAAGAAAAAAAATCCATAATCCTTTCTAATACCCGCAGTCATTGTCTTTTACAATGGTAAATGACTGAATATGGCGAGAACAATGGTGTCATATCTTCAGACGGTGATGGCAGAGGTCAAGTGGATATGGTTACCGTATGTCCTCTGGGACAGGAAATGAGATCTGTCATAGACCGGATGACTTTCAAAAATGCAGTTCAGATAAAAGGCCGTGGACAGTATTAGCTTGAGGAAATTGTACCACCTTAATAAAGGACTATTTATTACACTGAATGTGCATTTGTTGGCTTTCATCTCGATCTATTCTGCAGAACTTTATGAATTTAAAAATGAACATGCTTGTGTTGGAATATAATTTTGCCTATACATGCATAAAGCAGATTTTCAGAAATGTATGCCAATAACACTTCAACTTTATCTATATAACTTTTGAAATGTTGATTTGTGTAATTCAATCAAATGAAAAACCAACGTACACTATAAAACAAGCAAATCCAACATGCAATCCATTGGTTTACTTACCGATGTTTGTGCTGTTGTTTTCCCTCCAAAATGATGTCACTTCCTGGATGATGATGTTATTGAGGAAATGGCTTCTACAAAAGATTAACAGAACTGAAAGTGAGTTTGAGAACGAAAATTAAAACAATACAAGAAACTGTTTTATTTGAAACATTTATATCACAGAAAGAGAAAAAGGAATATAATCTTAATATGTTTTTCTTTTTAAATGTAGAAAAATATTTTATCCAGTCTACATATATAATGAGAGCATAGGTGTTTTTCTAAATTAAAAACATTTATCCGTAATACACACAAGTGGCTGACTGACATCAAGAAGTATGCATTTATATGTTGCGGGTACAACCACGTCATTGGAATCGGAAACTAAGATGTGATCTGTGTAAAGTTTTGCCTAAACTAATAATGAACTGCATCCTTTGACATTTGAGCATCGCTGCTGATGTCATGAGCACGGCTTTCCTCAAAGAAGCCCTGAGCGATGCAAAATACCCAGAGCAATGTCATTCAACTCATTATAGTGGCCCTAAAGTGTGTTTGGACACTTAAGCATTAATATGGCAAAATTTGATTGAACTGCAAAATATCAAAGCAAATGTCATTTATTTTTAAGTAAGTTAATTGCCTTCTTTAAAGGGATAGTTCACCCAAAAATGAAAATTCTGTCATCATTCACTCACCCTCAAGTTGTGACAAACCTGTATGAGTTTCATTCTCTGCTGAATGAAGATGTTTTTAGCTTAATCTACAATTAATCTCTGTATCTAAACTTTAAGGGCATCATAGCTCCAAAAAACAAGGTGCATGCTTTCATGAACACCTCGATTTGGCCTGAGCTCAAGCTCCTCTCTTCACCACAAAACAGAAACCCTTCATATTGAACACATCCTCTCATGCTCATCTTGCACAAAAACACTGAATTTTCGAATTTATTATCCAAATCCAGACCCATACAAAGCATGCTGCAGTTTTCAGCAACACTCAAAGTTATTAATGGGCATCAATGGCTCCATGAAGAACCTTTAACATCCGTCACTCTTAAAAATAAAGTTTCCAAAAGATGGATTTTTGCTGCAATACCAAAATAACCATTTTTTCGTTCCCCAAAGAACCGTTCAGTCTTTTTCTCATTGTGAAAAACATTAAGAGACTTTTTCAATGATGAAGAACCTTTATGTTATCCATGGAGCAACCAATGCCAAAAAGATGCCATTTCAGAAAACAATAACACAAAGTCAAAATTGTATAGCAAGAATTGTGTAAAGGATATTTTAAGAATTACATACAAAACTCTGGTAACGCTTAGGTTTCATTTGTTAACATTATGTATTAACGAACAACGAGCAATAACATTTGTTACACTCAGGTTGTTTTAACCCAATTTTGGGTCAAATATGGACAAACTCAAACATTGGGTTAAAAATGTAATTTAAAAATGTAACCCAATGGCTCAAATGTAACTGCAATACCAAAAGAACCATTTTTTCGTTCCCCAAAGAACCTTTCAGTCTTTTTCTCATTGTGAAAAACATTTTAATATTCTAAAGAGACTTTTTCAATGATGAAGAACCTTTAGTAGAACAGAAAATAACATTAAATGTTATCCATGGAGCGACCAATGCCAAAAAGATAACCTTTAATTCTAAAAGAACCTTTAGATTTTCTTTTAAGATCTTCTTTGGCACCTTTTTGCAAGCTTTATTTTAAAGACATGTCCTGTATGGCCTTCTTTTGGTCTTTTGGTCCAACCTACTCCATATCATTTATAAAATCTCACTATTACTGTCCCTGTAATTTAGTATTTGAAAAACTAAACGCATATTAATTTAACTTCACTTAGAGAGCAGATTTTCTTTATTGCGCACAGAAAAATCGGTGAAATTCTCCCCCCGCAGCATATACGTCTTAAATAAACAGTTTACATCATGGAAATGGTTCTTTGGGGTCATTTTCTGCGGTGGCTCATCAAACAGGAAGGGCTTACGCCCAGCCAATAATTACCAGCTAAAATACTTCCTCGGAAAAGACATCAGCGGTGTTTGATATTTCCTTTTACAGGCAGCCGCGGGTGAGGCTCTTAGCTCTGTAGGCTGGTGGAGCGAGGCCTACACAAACAGATCTTATCGCCACCGGCGCGCACTCTTTCATCAGGATGTTGCGGCCGCTATGGAACACATTTATACTAACCAGCGAGTTTCAGCCATTTTTATTGGTCTGGATCTTAGAGTCGTCTCTACGACCCAGGCTTCTCTTCTGAAGGAAGTGTTGCGGTTACTCCAGCCACAATAAAGAAACTCAGTAAATATATGGAATTAGCTAAGTGAGACACATGTAAGCTTTGCTCCTCTAAACCCCAATGTAGTGAACCATAGAAATGCTTTTGTTTTCAGATAAAGAAATCAGATTTAAAACTCGACTTTGACGGAACTTCAGAGCTAAAGGGTTTGCTCAAATAACTAACTCAAAGTACTATTTTTGTCATGTTATTGATCTCACAAACCTATGTCTGTTTATAAATCTGCATTTTCCTGCAGCTCATACTGAGTATGGAGTTAGAAACAGCAAGGTCATGAATTTGAACTGATTAAAAAATGCATGCCTTGAATGCAATGTAAGCTATTTGGATAAATGCATCAGCCACATGTAGCCTTTGTAATTTTTTACAGAAATTTACTGTAGCACCCCTTGTGGTCGTGCAGAGATTGCAACATGTGCTTGCGTTGCATTATAAAATTGCACTTGGATCATTTCAGAAAACCATAACACAAAGTCAAAATTGTATATTAAGAATAACATATAAAGGAAATTTTAAGAATTACACTTAAAATTAAGAATTATCTTAAAAGAATTAAGAATAAAACTCTGGTAACGCTTAGGTTTCATTTGTTAACATTATGTATTAACAAACAACGAACAATACATTTGTTACACTCGGGTTGTTTTAACCCAATTTTAGGTCAAATATGGACAAACTCAAACATTGGGTTAAAAATGTAACCCAATGGCTCAAATGTAACCCAAAATTGGGTTAAAACAACCCAGCATTTTTTAGAGGTAATTTACAGCATTTTTCTAAGTGCAAGTTAATAAAAATACAGCTGTTTGTTCATGTCAGTTCACAGTGCATTAACTACTGTAATGTCAACAGATGCAACTTTTTATTTTTAAAACATATTAGAAAATGTTGAAATGAACATTAACTAAGATTAATAAAAGCTGTAGAAGTGCAGTTCATTATTAGTTCATGTTAACTAATGACTTGTTTTTCCATGATCATCTCCCACTCAGGAAAACTAAAATATGACTGTTTTTGGTGCCAGAAACCTTGACGAACCTTATGTGATTCAAGAGAGCGTTATTGCAATATACAAGATGAGGTGAACACTCTTAGAAGAAAAGGTTCTATATAGAACCTTAAAAGGTTCTATCAGCGCTACGTATTTGGAACCCCTAAAAGGTTCTATACACTCTTAAAAACAGGGTTCCTCTGGGTTCTATATAGAGGGAATGCGCGTGACGTCACCGTCGGCCGGAGTGCCTGCAGTTCCTCACAGTGAGTGGCAAAAAGACTGAGCGGCTGTATATGTGTTCAGCGTGAATGCCGCGAAAAACAAACACAACACACACAAATAAAGTGGGAAAGAGCTTTGCGATTGACTGTAGGCCTACAACTAGATTTGAGGTATATTTTTACAGACTGCTATGGAAAGAGGAGCAAATGGATCGCTGCAATTCACAGAAACAACTGGACTCCAGTCAGCGAAAGGTGGATTTGCAGTTATCGTTTTGTGCCAATATGCTGAATTTAGCTGTAAAACCATACCCATATATTTTGTATTGTTATATACATTAACAGCTCATCAATTAAATATTTATCATTGCATATTCTGCATTATTGGATGTTTTTTTTAATAAACACTGACCAAAAAAACGTATAAAGTTTTAGGGCTGGATGATATGATATATAGAGTTCAGATGCAAAAGCCTCTAAATGCCATTTGAAATTTTCTTCTTTAATGATGATTTTTTATCAAACTTGTATATTTAAGTTCAGTAATTTCACTTAAATAACAATTAATAGGTAATTATCATTGCCATTTAAGTGAAATCACTGAACTTAAATATACAAGCTTGATAAAAATGATCATTCTAGAAGAAAATTTCAAACGGCACTTAGAGGCTTTTGCATCTGAACTCTTCATATATATATATATGCTATATATAACACTGATATAAGTGATCACCCGGATTTAGACCTACCTATATTATATTTATATAAAGCGTCCACAGGCAAATTTGCTTTATGTTTAGGTCTTGCTTTTATTTCCCCAGTGTCGAAATCAGGCAAACATAAATGTCAGGCAACACGATTCCTGGCTGCATGTCAATATCCATGGATCACTGGATCTTTCGTAAGTTGTAAGGAACACTATATTGAGTCCAACATTTAGTTTAAATTGATCAAATTGTTCGATTTAGTCGCATATCCGCAGTTTTCCCCTATTAAATCCAGTCACGCAGCAGATCTTTTGCCACTCGGTCAGGCTGAGGGGGGTTTTCACGTGTCAATGCATTCCCTCAATAGTATCCTAGGGTTCTATACTTGGCCAATGGAACCTTTTACCAAAATAAATGGTTCTACATAGAGCCATTTTGGAGTTCCATATATGAAGCGGGGGATGGAACCATTTCTGGTTCTAAATAGAACCATTTCTTCTAAGATGGTGTTTCTCCAAGACAAAGTTCAAATTGACACAACAAAGAGAGAGTGCAAAAGCTCAATTCAGGAGGTGAAGAATAAACCTATATAATAGTTTCTCCAGCACAATGGCTGGCCCTTCACTCATCATGTAGACCCAGCTGGCCAAGAGATTGTTTCCCTCTATGAAACATGGCATCTCATAATCCCGTTTCGCTCATGGAGAGCAGTAAATTAAACTGTGGGATCAAGATGGGCGTTCATTCATTCCGCTTGTGTGGTAGACGCTCTCTCTCTATAACTTTCTTTTTATTGCCCATGGTGAAGGGTGGAGTGTGACTGGCAGGTGTGATAAGTCAGCGTACCAGGGGCATG